AATAATAATAATAATGAAGTTTGAAATAGTATGAGAATTACCAAAATGTGACACAGAGACACTAACGGAGCACTTGCTGTTAGAAAAATGTCACTGATAGACTTGCTCAATACAGGGTTGCCACAAACATTCAATTTGTAAAAAACACAATGTCTGTGAAGTATAATAAAGCAAAGGGCAATAAAATGAGGTATACCGGTATCTGGAGAGAATCCATAGTGTTCAGAAAATTCTCAAAGGGGTCCATGGTCGCCAAAAGGTTGAAATTTACAATGTCTCTACCATTCCTCTTCTTAAACCCTACAGCTACTGACTGGCCTAGTAGCTGTAGGATATTACTAACTTGCTCTCTCAATCTGGTTTGTCTGTCTCTAATCTCTTCCCTATTCTTCACATTACCCAGACAAATTTACCTAAAGCACAGTTATGATCACATCGTTCTTTTACTCCAGAGCAGTCAATGGCTTCCCATTGCCTGCAGAATGAAGTCCCAACATGGTAACTGATACTCCAGCCAAGATAGGCTACTTTCCTTTCTTCAAAACCTCTCTGCTTCCTCACCTTGGCTTCCTGCTTGGGGAGACCCACCTCCTCACAATCATTGTCTGTCAAAACCCTACCTATTCTTCAAGGCCTAGTTCATGTGCTTCTACCTCCAAAAATATCTCCCAGGATACCCCATGCAGAGGTGATATCTTTTACCTCTGGACCTGCATAGCACTTTATTTTGGCCTTGTGGGAGACTGGCTTCTAGTAGCCTCTCCAAAATCCACTCTCCTCTTCTTCCTGGGCACAGGGCCATCTAACAAAACATTTTCTAATCTTTCCTGCAGTTAGGTGTGACTTGCAATTAAGCTCTTGCCAAAGAAATGTGAGAGAAAGTGAGATGGACAAATTCCACCTCACTTGCTTTAAAAAGAAATCCCTTGCCTGGACCTTGTCTTTTTCCCCCTTCCATGAGTGAGAATGTAGATGTGCTCATGACCTTGCATGGAGCAGGACTGTCCCACCGGCCTAGACCAGCTGGTCTGTTGTGCATGAAAGAAACTATTTGCCTTACTTGAGCTGCTGTATTTTAGATTCTTTGTTGCAGAAGCTTACTCTTTACCCAAATACACAGGCTTCTTCATGGTAGTGTGTTAAATGGTATCATGACTTGTAATTATTTGTATCAATGTTTAATCCCCCCTCCTAGGAAGCCAACTTCTAATTGGTCTCCCTGCTTCCTACCCTGCCTCCTACACTCTGTTCTCAGCAGCTGCTCTGATTCTTTTAAACGGGGAGTCAGATTATGTCAATCTTTGCTAAAAACCTTTATTCTGCAAAAGGAAAACCCTTACAATAACCTACAAGGTCCTGCACAGTGGGTATTTTTCCAATCACACTTATCTCGATGACCTTACTTTGCTTATTTTCTCTTATAGGTATATGCTACCTCCCACCCCACAACACTCACCCTGTACTAGTATTCCTCAAGCCAGTCAAACACCTCCACCTTAGGGGCTTTGCCCTTGCAGTTCTCTCTGTCTACCCCAGATATCAACATGGCTCTTTTTATTATCTCCTTCAGGTCTTGGCTCACATGTTATCTTTCCAAATAGGCCTTCTCTGACTACCCTAGTTAAAATTATACTCCTGCCCCCTACACCCTGGCACATTATCCCACTTTCCTTGCCTAATTTTTCTTTACAGCACTTAGCACCATTTGTGATACTATGCATTTTCTTTATTTACATGTTTATTGTTTGAAAAATGTAAACTCCATAGAGGGTGGGGGTTTGACTGTTTACTACTGTATTCTCATAGGTATACATAGGGCCTGGCTCATAAAAAGTGTTCCATGAATATTTATTGAATGAATGAATTCCTTGGGGGCAAATACCGTGTAGTTCCCTCAAGACCTAGTACACTGCCTTGTATGCAATAAAGCACTCAGTAAATATTTGATGGATGAACTATGATGGGAGACTACTAATATTCTGCCCTGCAGTCTGCTTCCTTCTCCAAGTATTCCTATACACATGGGCCTATATTAAATTTCTGAACTTGTGAAAGTATGACAAAAGGTCAGAGGAGAGGTCCTCCATGGACATTGCTGAAAATGGCAGCAGGAGAAAGATAGGATGCTACTTTGCTGCTTTGAGATTTTTCTGCCTTCGCCACCTAGACAAATCCCTTCCACACGCTGGGTCCCAGTTGCACCATATGTAAAATGAAGTTAGTAGACTGGATGATCTCTATTTTTATAATTGGTAATTATGAGCACTACAGTCACTTTTGATTCTAGAACTGTATGATTTTTCTCTTCTCCTACCCCATGGTTGGAATATGCCTAACGAAAACATGGTGTAAGAATAAAAGCTCACTTTGGTCCAGTTAGCAAGGATCATTATAAAAATAATAAGACATGGTGTAAAAGCCACGTTAACAACATGCAAATATGACATTGAAGCTCACAGGAGTGAGACTGGACTAAAAACCAGGTTTTCTGATCCCTTCAGGACTCTTCATCTGAAGTCGCATAGTATTCTATTTTTTCTTTCCTTTCCAAGAGTTAGGTAAATCAGACCTTTATTGCCCAGACATTTTGGAAAACCCACAGTCCTTCACTTGTTTGAACATATTTGGTCCCAGCGTTAAGAAACAAAACGCAACTTTCTCTGGCAGTGTCACTGGGTGATTCAGGTGGCATGCCTTCAGTCAATTTCCCCTTAGGATTTTTCAGGCTGTTTAATTGCAAAGGGCAAACAAGCCCTTTGGATGCGCCTCTGTGATGTAAAAGTGCTTTAATTCAGCCCCATCCTTATTAAGAGAGAAAAATGGTGTTCAGAAACATGCAAACTCATGTGGCTGCCATCCTGATGAACATATTTTTTTAAAGCAAACCGTAAACCAGAGCCAGACTTACTTTCTCGCGCTGAGGAAGAAAGAAGAAAAAAAAAAAAAAAAAAAGCAAGCGAGGCTGATTTCCCGCTAGCGGGAACGATCTCCGCGTCATCCCTCCACCCACGTCCCTCCACCCCCAGTTGTCTCTCCGCGCTCCAGTCCGCTCTCCCCGGCAGCTTAGCTACAGGGGGCGAGGCTAAGAAGTAGCCCCGCCCACTTCTTGCGCTCCAGCCAATTCCTAGAGAACTGGAGAGAGGCCGAGCTACAGGGACGGGTCGGCCCCTCGCTGCCGCTCAGCTAATCCGGGCGGGCGGGGTGTGGACTTCCCTGCTAACCCCGCCTCCCCGGAGCTGGGTAATTTAGAGCCGCGTGCGGGGCGGGAATGTAAGATGGCGGAGTAGCAGCGCGAAGAGGTTAGTATTGAGTGTCTGGGCTGACTTCGGTTCCTGTCTCCGCCGCAGCAGTGATCGCTTAGGGAAGAGTGCCTAGGGTAGTTGGCCAAGATGCCGAATATCAAAATCTTCAGCGGCAGCTCCCACCAGGATTTGTCCCAGAAGATTGCTGATCGCCTGGGCCTGGAGCTAGGCAAGGTGGTGACTAAGAAATTCAGCAACCAGGAGACCTGGTAAGGGCCAAATTGGGACCCCGATCGGACCTCACCCGCCCGAACAACGGGGCGTAGAGGGGATGGGGCCGCCGCCTGAGTTCCGAGGGACTGGGGGAGGGAAAACACGGGGCAGCTCTGTGGCGAGCGTGCCCCTTGGGCTGTTTCCGTTATGTTACCTCCCGCCGGAGGGTCACGTTCATTCTCACCGTGCGGTGGGGTGGAGTCAAGATGGAGCAAGAGGCGAGGCTGCTGGGTTTAAAGGCAAGGGCAGGAGAACCCAGTGGATAGTGGCTGCCTATAGCGACGGGAGGGGACACGTGGCTTTGCTTCGCTGTTGAGCCACCTATGCTAGACTGGGTTCGCTTCAGCTCTTGGACTAGCTTGCACTGGAGAACCTTCCGCGTAGTGACCATTCCTGGTCTTTCTCCTAGTGTCTAAGAAGTAGCTTTTTCATTTGAAGTGGTATGGATCCAGTTTGGTGTTGGGGAGAAACTGGCATTATATACTGTGGGCGCCAAAATCATTACTTCAGGACTTCCCTTAGATCGGCAAGCGTTGCCCTTTCACATCTTTAGAATCATCTGCTGCGTAATCGGAGCCATAAATCTAGTTGATCGGATAAAGTGATGCATTGACTCTGCATCCTTGATAGCCAGCATCTCAGCTTGAGCCATCCAGCAAGTCTAGGAGACTTTAATTCTGGAATCTTTGACCTTCCCCAATGCAGCTAGTGGTACAGATAATGCAAAAGCATATTTTTCAGTAACAGAGTCTACCCTGGACTTGTTCACTTCTCTTCTCTTAGGGTGGGCAATTTAGGAAACATTTTTATACCTGAATGTTAAGATAATTGAGGAAGATAATGGAGTGGAAGACTGGGATTGGACAGTGCATTGCAACTTGAATTTTTTTCATTGCCTTGCCACTAAAACTTGCTTCCTCCCCCTCACTTCCACCCTGTGCCTGCACCATAGGACCATCTTAGAGATAACTTGGTTACCTGATTCTTTCAATACCTCTTCCGCTTAAATGTGGGATCTTCTGGTTCTGATAGGTGTACTTCGTGTTTTGTTGTTACCCTGTTGATCAAATCAGAGCACTGCCCACAATTTTACAGATACAGTCATCTGTTAAGGGAAAAGTTTCCACCTAATAATTTGTTACATTACTTTGAACATTTTTTCCTAAATGCTTTTTTTTCTATTTCAGCATGTTATGGGGGTACAGATGATTAGGTTACGTATGATGCCCTTACTTTATGCTTTTTTTTTTTTTTAATAGAGGCACGGAGCGTTCCGGGTGCTGCCCTGTCCCGGCCTGCTCCCGCCCCCCCCCCCAAATGCTTTTGTTTACTTTTTTCTTTAAACTGATTTCCAAGTGTAACTCCTTATCTTTTTTTTTTTTTTTTTTTTTTGAGACAGGGTCTTGCTCTGTTGCACTGAGTAGAGTGCAGTGGTGTCATCATAGCTAGCTGTAGCCTCAAACTCCTGGGCTCAAGCAGTCCTCCTGCCTCAGCCTCCGCAGTAGCTGGGACTATAGCTGCAACCATGCCCAGCTAATTTTTTCTAGTTTTAGTAGAGATGGGGTCTCACTCTTGCTCAGGCTGGTCTTAAACCTCTGACCTTAAAGCGATCCTCCTGCCAGCCACCACACCCAGCCCTCCCCTTCTCCCTTTTAAGACCCAGGTAATAAAAGTAATGTCTACTGTAATGGACAGGCTCCTGGATTATTGTGCCACTGATTGTGATGCAAATGCACTGTAAACATTGCCATCTGTAACCAGCCTGTACCTCAGGCAAAAGAGGCTTACTGCTGCTCAGTCTTTAGCCTTGACCAAACATCATGGGCCTTAGTTAAGAATACAAAACAGCACCAGACTTTTGTGAATGGCAGTATAGCTAGGGGACAAGAATGTTTTTCACTTAGAGATTTTCTTTGGCCCCTGTGGTTATTTAATCCTTTTCCTATGCTTCCGGGAAAAATATGAAGACTTTATTTTCTCATCTTAATCCTTCTGCATAATGCAACATACCAGAACCTGAGGCTATACTGGGTGAAGGGAGGGGGAAAACAACCTCATTTTCTCTGTAGAAGTCGATTTCGAATAAGCCCAACATGAATAATTGCTGACTGGCTAGGTTTCCTTGGTTCTGGCTTAGTCATTAGCTTTTTGGTTCTTTAGATATTCAGAAATCTTCATTTAACATAGTCAAATATGCTGTCTGTGGAGCTCCCCCCAACCTTTGTCTTTTCTGTGCTGCAGACATCATAACTGCTCCCCTGGGTGACTCTTGGGATCTAAAGGTCATGGACAGGGCAACTCGGTAGGTGCTGTGGGTCATCTGTTGGGGAACAAATAAGACAATTTTGCTATTTCCTACAATTTGGCAGAATCTCAGAGGTTGATGCTCTCTTGAGCAGAGTAGCTTTTCTTCTGAAATCAGGATTATCCTCAGCTGTCTAGTTATTTAGGAAACATACAGGTATAGATGTCAAAAGTTAAGTCCCTGGAATCAGGGAACCTGGATTTGAATCCTTAACCTTTGTAGAAGGCAGAAGGAAAAAAGATATATCTCTCATAATTCCACCACGCAAGATAAACTGTTCACATTTTGATTTATGACCTCCCAGATGTTTGTTATATATGTGTGTGTATTATATACTTTTAGTAGTTTTCTTCATTTAGCAATATATTTTGAGTAGTTTCTCCCTTTAATATTTAGTATATGATTTTTTTAAGTTATTCACTTAAATTTTTTTTTTTGAGACAGAATCTCCCTTTGTTTCCTGGGCTAGAGTGAGTGCCGTGGCATCAGCCTAGCTCACAGCAACCCAAACTCCTGGGCTCAAGCGATCCTCCTGCCTCAGCCTCCAGAGTAGCTGGGACTACAGGCATGCGCCACCATGCCCGGCTAATTTTTTTATGTATATAAGTTTAGTTGTCCAGCTAATTTCTTTCTATCTTTTTTAGTAGAGACAAGTTCTTGCTCTTGCTCAGGCTGGTCTCGAATTCCTGAGCTCAAACAATCCGCCCGCCTCTGCCTCCCATAGTGCCAGGATTACAGGCGTGAGCCACCAACGCCTGGCCAAAAAAAATTTTTTTAAGAGACAGGGTCTCACTTTGTTGCCTAGGCTGGAGTGCAGTGGCTGTTCACAGGCACGATCATGGCACATTGTAGCCTCAAACTCCTGGGCTCAAGTGATCCTCCTGCCTCAGCCTCCAGAGTAGCTGGGACTATAGGTGGATGCCACTATGCCTAGCTAGTCTATATGATTTGAAATGGCTGTATAGTCTTATGATTATACCATTATTTTATTTTATTTTATTTTATTTTTTGAGATGGGGTCTTGTTCTGTCACCCAGTCTGGAGTGCAGTGGTATGACATCCTCCTGCCTCAGCATCCTGAGTAACTGGGACTACAGGTGTGTGGTAGCACACTTGGCTGATTTTTAAAAATTTTTTTTGCGGAGATGAGAGGTCTCGCTATGTTGTGCAGGCTGGTCTTGAATTCTTGGCCTCAAGCGATCCTCCTGTCTTGGCCTCCCAAAGTACTGGGATTACAGGTGTGAGCCATATACCATAATTTTAGATAACCAAGTCCCTGTCATTGGATACTCCCAATTTCTGATCTAATGCTTTTATATGAAAATCCTTGAATATAAATCTTTGACTATGTCTGATTATTTCCTTAGAATAAATCCCTAGGGAGGAGCCAGGTGTGGTGGCGTGTGCCTGGGGCTGGGACTGGAGGCTGAGGCGAGAGAATCGCTTTAGCCCAGAAGTTCGAGGCTGCAGGGAGCCATGATTGTGCTGCACTCTAGCCTGGGCCACAGAGCAAGACCCTGTCTCTTTAAAAAAAAAAGGTAATAAATCCCTAGGAGGGGAATTACTAGGTTAAAGGGTATATACCATTTTGTAGGCTTTTGATACGTATTGAAAATTGTTTCCCAGAAAAGTTGAACCAATCTCCAGTTTCATCATCTATAATAATATTGATAATATTTGATGTATAGTGAATGGTTAAAGGTGTGCTAGTTTCCATGCTAAGCACTTGTGTACGTTGTATTTAATCCCCTCAAAACTGCTATGAGGGCCAGGCATGGTGGCTCACGCCTGTAATCCTAGCACTCTGGGAGGCCAAGGCGGGAGGATCACTTGAGGCCAGGAGTTCGAGACCAGCCTGAGCAAGAGTGAGACCCCGTCTCTACTAAAAAAATAGAAAGAAATTAGCTGGACAACTAAAAATATATATAGAAAAATTTAGCCAGGCATGGTGGCACACGCCTGTAGTCCCAGCTACCTTGGAGTTTGAGGCAGAAGGATCGCTTGAGCCCAGGAGTTTGAGGTAGCTGCGAGCTAGGCTGACACCATGGCACTCTAGCCCGGGCAACAGAGTGAGACCCTGTCTCAAAAAAAAACAAAAAAACAACTGTGAGAAGTTACTCTTACTATCTCTATTTTACAGAGGAGGGAACTAAGATTCAAGGTTAAGTAACTTGCTCAACGCTGGGTATGATGATTCTTTTAAATTTTTGCTTACACGATGCCTCACCTGACTTTTAAAACTTTTGGATATACCAAACTTTTGACTCTGTTCTTTTCAATATTAGTAAATAACTTTGGTTTATTTACTTTGGCTGAGAGGAGGAAGACTTGAACTTCGGTTGCCTAGGATCTTCCTAAGAACCGTACCTTTTGGTTAGTTAATCCCATGTATTTTGCACATGCCAACATCTCCATAGTCTGAATTCTTGAGATTTTCTGAAGAATACCATCCACCTTTTAGATTGGCTATATTTCCTTTTTGTGTTTTTTAACATTCAGTGTCAGTTGGATGCACTTATTCCTAATGCTAAAGGAAAGGGAAAAGGAGAGGCTAGTTTTCTCACTGATTGGATGGACAGAGCCAATCCTCTCGCCTGTCCAAAACAGCTGGGAGAATGATTGGCGCAAAGCCATATGGAGAGCACTCCATTAACTAGAGGGAGAGAACAAAGAGTGTTATCCTCTAAATTG